GTCAACAACACGACTAATGACCTCAGGTACTGGGGCCTCGATTACCTCCGATTGGGAGTATTTAATCTTTTTGTGTTAGAACTCCTTTTGATTAAGTTAATTTATAACATTGTATATGAACAGAAATGCATTAAGTAGAGACTTTAGATAACAGTATTCTAAAATTTAGTTTGTAACCTTCATAATTCTGCCTTGTTACTTCTTTAACATTAATAATCTTTTGTATAAGCATGTTACATGTCAATTTTCTGCAGTATGCTAAAAGTTTTTTATGATTGTTACTTCTGTTGAACTGTTTTGTCTTCGTTTTCCCCACTCACCACAGAGATGTATAATGCAAATGTTTCTACTTGCTGGACCTGGAGTGGTTTCAACCTTTTTCTTTTGGGCTGCTTTAAAGGTATTAAGAATAAGAATTCTCCTTATTTTCCGCTGACATATGTTTTTTTAATAATTCTTAAATTGGATAAAAATGTAGCTTATTTTCCCTATAACTGGAGCTGGAATACATCATTGCTCAAATAGCCTAATATGTTTAGCTGGTTAACTTAGAAATGCCTTTTGCTTGATTTCTTTTTGTGGATATATAAACATGATTGCTAAGCGTTCCCAGTAAAGTAATTCACATGTGATTTTAGGACATAAATTGTGGTCTTTCAGTTATTTTATCGGATGGTTCACGGCTGGAACTTCCATTGGGGGGCATTAATCAAGTTTTTCTCACAAGTCTCTCTTGGAGCGTAAGTACAAAAATGTTTGGATGAAAATAATGAGTCAACAATATTGCTCATGTTCTTTCATAGTACAGGGTCAGTTTTCGCCAATTCCAGTATGTAGAACATGGCCCGCCGGCGATAATTTATCCTCAAAGATTAACTTCGCATTTAATATATTTGAGTTTAGCCCAATTTCATCCAGTTTTCTTAATTGGTATTCACACAAGTGCAGCTGCTGAAGGTTAGAAAGGCCCACTGAGGTGTGCCTTTTTTCTCAAGGGCGGTCATATAAGCCTTATCTTTGTTCATAATGAAGTGTCATCTTATGAGGACTAAGATAAGTATGGATTGCTAAGAATGCTTTAGCCAGTTGGGAAAAATTGATTCTAGGATACTCTGAATTTATATTTGAAATTATGGTTATGTACTTGTTTTAGATAATGCTCGCACAGTACTATGTATTAGTATTGGCCACTATTAGATTAAATCTTCTCATTATGACACGTGACTATTCTATTATTGAATATGGTTGATTTTTTTTTTAAAATAACATGAACTCCATGTGAATATTCATTTATATATATTATTATCAATGTTAACAAGTAGGCAACTTATAACAATAGATGTATATAGTTCATTGTTGTGGTTGATTTCAGTTTCTGGTATCTCATTTGGTTCTATGATTGATGTAAACTAAAAGGAGAAGGAAAAATATTGTGTAAAAGAAGTGATTAGGAGACACAACTTCATTCATGAAAATCTGGTGTCTGTTATATAATATTGGTGAGTAATTATTTTTAGATGTTGTGGTTATATCTTATTCAGGTGTTGATTGATTATTTTTAATATTTCAAATTTACTGTTTGGCATGATTTACTTTATTTAAAGTAGGTCTAGTTGACTGTGAAGTGGATGCTGTTCATACTGAACAATTGAATGGAAGAAGCTGTTGCAGGATGGAGCATGTCCGAGTCTTTAAACGACAACATCACTGAGGGGTCTATCTGTGAGTTTATGCTCCTCCCAAATGAAACCATTACTTACAAGGTTAAAGTTTGAGTAATGTTGCTATTAATTGTTGTGCTTCAGAATTTTATGTTGTTAAGCAAATAATTTCGTAGTTTATGTTTTCTAGACTATTTGCAGCTTATTTAGAGCTTACAATGTACTCTAAGTTATGTTTGCTGATTTTTTGCATGTCTAAGTTCAATTTTTTTGTCTATTTAGGAATCATTACAGTTATTGTTTTGTGGAAATTAACCGTTCACGACATTCCTCAGTGGTTAGGTTCAACAACTTAAAGTTCAAACATTAGGTTTTAATACATGAAACATATTATAATTTTTTCATTTTTGAATAACAAGCAATATTTTTTTAGTGAAAATTAAATAACGAATAAGAATACCTAATCAACGACTCTTTTAAGATATGATTCATCCTTTTATGTTTACTTTTGCATAGTGTGGACTGCTTTGTTGTTATAGATTTAAATTTTGCAAGATTTTCAGGCCTATTCAAACAGATTTTCAAGATATACACTATAGAGTATTTATCGAAGTTTGTTGATTAGTCTTAAAAATATTTAATAACGGTAATAAAAAACAAATTATAAATTCAACTGGGTATTTTAACATTATGTCGGCATCTCTTAAAATTAAGATAAATGATAAAAACAAATACGGGACTTAACTGAGTCCGGTAGTGCGTATGTTTAACTGACACCAAAATCATTTTATGATAATGGGAACATGTCCATTATTTGCTGGATATGCCTTCACCCACTTTTTTGTTAAACTTTAAAGGAGCTGAGTGAGTTTCGTAGCTTAATTTGATTAGACAATGCATGGTCGAACAACGAGCAAGTATTGCTTGCTTTTTTAGTTTTTATTTACTAAGGAAGAAATCTTTGGTTGTGAGGAAGATAAACATTTCTCGCTTGGGATCACCAATTGCTATAGAATATATGTTTTGTTGATTATGGTAAGAGTTAAGACTTTATGCGTAGATCAAAAACTGTTGCACTACAATAGAATTTGCAAGTGCATTTGTTGTGTATTGCTGTTGACAAGATGTAGACTTTGGGAAATTGAAAAGTGTGTTATATCATATATATGATTTATTTCCAAGAGAATGTGCATTGTCACAGTTAATACTTTTCAGTGGATATGTATCTCTTATTTAGGCAATCTGAACATGTCATATCAATTTTTTTTTGTTTTTTTTTTTAATATTTTATAATGATCAGAAGATGCAAATTGGTAGGGAACTATAACAATAATTGTATAAGGGATATTTTTTATTTTTTGTATTTTGGACAAACTTTTAGATGTATGTCGTTTTCCTATAAATGTATAGGTCGAGGATTTAATTTTCTTTTACATTAGTTAATTGGGATTTGAATGTTGGTAGTGCAGTGCTGGTGATGTAAATCATCACTTTGACTATGCTTTATTCTTCTTCTAAATACACCTGCCAAATGCGATTGTCCTAAAACGTGATTTCTTTCATTGCATCACAGAAAAATCGACGCCGACAACCATTCAAAAACCATCAAATATTCATGCTGAAATAAATCTTCCTATAAAAATTAGAAGAAGGCCAAAGAAAAAATAAATTCCCTTGAGAAATAAAAGGAAAAGGCCGCGAGTGATATGAAAGAAGCGCAACTATATGAAGCAAATGAGAAGCGGACTGATGGCAAGAAGCATGCAAAAGAAAATTTTGAGATTGAGAAGTTCTGTGTGGTCGATATGGAGCAAGCAAGCATCGAAGCAAATCACAAGAAAGAAGAGGAATAGTGGGAGCTTGATACCATGAGGAATCGGCAGTCGGTGGATACGATCTCCCTTTTAATCGCCACTCGGGAAGTTCAGAAAGCAACATAGGAAGTCGAGATGATATGCGGCGCAAAGGACCAAACAATGTGCTCTGCTGACGACTTGACGAAAACAGTCAAGGCCCATGCACAAAAAATTGAACTTCTTTCTGCCGAGCTGGCCCAATTGAGATTTGCACTCGACTCCTTACATTTCAACTGTATTAGTATAAATTCAAATGATTATTTCAAATAAATTCAAATTATACTTCAACTGATTATTTCAAATAACGGAAAATTTTAACTTAATTATATACTAAGTTTGAGTCGGCTGTGCGTGCACAACCTTGAGGAACCATTACATTGTGTATATGTTTCCATAACTGCTCCCACCATTCTTTCACATCGAATTGGATCAGCATTATTTACCTTGCAATCTTATTGACGGAGTTCCAATCTATAAACTTTACCCCTTTTGATCGCATGCTTGTGAATATATCCTTTATAGAATATGAGAGTTCATGTGGTATAACTTACCCATTTATAATTTTATTGTAGCACATTCAGAATCTAATGTCTGCACAGACTCTTTTTTATGTATTGGAAAATATGTGCCGACTATTATAGACAACATTTTTAACACATCAAAGTATTTAAAAAAAAAAGGCCCAATCACTTATGAATGCACTGCCCATGATATACAAATTTATCATACTTATTGGTTAATTGTTAAGTAGCTATTAATCTTTTGCTTTTCAACAAATCTTCTCAAATAGTGTTCAAACAATATAATTTTGTTAACGATTTTATAAATTAGTAGACATCTTATTATATTATTGGATTGTTTGATTCTTTACTCACTGTTAACTTATTTGAAGCTAAATATATAAATGCCATAAAAGGTGGTTATGTGTATTTTAAAATTTTGTCAAATATTAGTTATAATTATAGACTGGACTAGAGCCGACTGTGCGTGCACAACCACCGGACTAACTAGTATATATATATGAAGAAGTTATAGAGCTTCAATGGATGACACGTGTCCCATTTAGTAGACATAAAATGACGACACGTGTCCCATTAGCAAATTGGCAATATTTTCTTTTCAAAACCAGCAATTGAAACGACGATGTTTAATGACTTAGTTTATTTCCTTTTTTCTTTAATTTTTCTTCTCTTACATGATCTTCTTTCTTTTGAAAATCACTCGGAGCAGTTGGGATTTTCTTTCCCAAGTTGGGATTTTCTATAACTTCTGCTTCTCTCCACGTCTTCTGTGATGTGATTTTCGTGAATTGTGTTGACTCTGTCGAACTTAATTGTTAAGAATCCCCACAAGCCGCAACATCTACTTTTCACCTACATTTCCACTCTTCTCAATCTCGCGTCTCTAAATTTCTTTCTCCTTCATCCCAACCACTGTCGTCGTTGTTAATTCATCGCAAACAAATCATACGCGTCGCCGGCCTATGTCCGTTGGGGGTGAGTCGTCGTGTAGTACTGTGATGACACAAATAGGGAAGGGACTGAATTTAAAGAAATTAGAGCAAATGGAGAGCTTGTTGGTACACATGTTCATCGGCTCGCCGACTCAAAGCGGTGACCCCGTCGAGAAGAGGCAACGGTGGACTCTTGAGCGCTTGTCGCCTCCTCTTGCCGATTCCCTACTACCAGGCCACAAAAGACGAGGTACGTATGTGAGCCGCCGCCATTGTTGTTACTATGAAGAGAAAACGAAAAAGAATCGAACTACCTACTCATTATTATTCGTAGGTGAAACATACCACCAAAACCAGTGGTATCTTATGGACCTAACATATGTCATATCCCTCACAACATAAGATTGCAAGGAAAAGAATAGATTACCTCATACATAAGATTGCGACTAGTTCAAGACATGTAAACTATTTAGCATTAGTACGAAATATTGTGCAAATAAATAAGAAAAAAAAAGGTTAATTGATAGAAATTGGATTTAACATATACGAAATAAATCGATTAATTCCAAAAGCGTTCATATTGAATAATCGAGAATCATAACCAAATAGCGGAAGCGTACCTGATATATTCATGTTGATTGATTTCTTTAGAACTCAAAATTATATTTAGGATTTGAAAATCTTTCAAAAGACCGTGATCCTTATTTTTCTTATTTTTCTTCCTCTTGAACGTATGAAAGAAAGAAGGTTGAGTGAAGAAAATGATGCCCTTTCACCCTATGTTGCCGAGTGGAACTACAATTAATGCTTTGATAAACCTACTACGTCTGCCACTTAATGGAAATAGATTTGTCAAAAATGGACTGAGGCCCGCAGGCCGGCCACCCCGCCCCACCAAATGAGTGGGCTGAGCTGGAATATTAGAGGCCTGCTGGGACGGGGGCCTAAACAGGCGAGCTCGCGTGGGCCGCAGGCTTTGGCGGGGTGGGCCTAGCGGGCCGCGAGCTTCCCCGCCTTTTTAAACAATATATATATACATAAATAAATTAATTTTGTGAGCCCAATGCATAAAAAAATTCAAGCCTTCTTGCTTTTTTTACTTCTGGCCTACCTTTTTTTAAAAAAAAATACATAAATAGATTGTGAGCCCAACACAAAGCCCAGGGGCGGATTTATACTAGGGCGAACCTGGGCAATTGCCCAGGCTCAATTTTTACTGCTAAGTATATGTTATTATGTTGATAGGTTTTTCTGTATGAAAGATATGGCAAAATAAAAAATCTGTATGCGCAAGAATGAGGGAAGAAGATGACTGGTAAGAGGGTTTTTTCATTTTTTTCTTAGCCTATAAACGACGTCGTTTTGGCCTTCATTTAATTAAAAAAAATTAAGCCAAACGACGTCGTTTCTATTAAATGTCAAAAAAAAAAAAAAAAAAAANAAGGACTGCTGACGGGAACGAGAACGGGATTGTTGCTTGAATTATTTGATCGAGATTTCTCCGCTTTAGTTCTAATGTAAGTGTTATATGTTCAAGTATTCATATTGATTTTTTTTTTTTAATTTTTATAAGGCGGTCACTATATGGGAGCAGAATTAGTACGGAATAAAAACCACTATTAGCGTAAAAATTATATTATGGTGAATGGTGATATCCTTCCTTTGAATTTTGATGCTTGGCTCTTGACTGGGAACAATCTGGATAAGACATCAAAATTAAAGGGCAGTAAGTGAAGGTAATTACTTATTGGTTTAATAATCTTTATTACATTTGATTTGATAAATGTAAAATGTTGGTATATAATGTGAGTTATTACCTTATTGGTTGAATAATTTTATTGCAACAGACATTAAGACTTGATCCATTCCTTTTCCTCTTGTATCTTCATGGCTTAACCTTGTTTTAGTTGTTTTTTTTTCCTGTTCACTGATTTGTAGGCTCCTTTCAGTTGTTAGGTTCTTTTTCTGTTTAGTTGGTTTGTATGAGTGTTCTTGCTTGATAGGGTTTTCTGATTGTAGTTGTTTTGTTTCTTAGCTTGTTTGTATTGAATGGGTGCAGATGGATTCCCCTGTGGCTTCTTTTGTTACCATTTGGTAATCCAGTTGTAAGACTTTTGTTGAGATTTATGAATTTTATTGTCGTTGGGAAAAAAAAAATGTGGGGGAGAATGGAGATAACGTGTGGCTTCTTTTGTTACCGTTTGGTAATCCAGTTGTAAGACTTTTGCTGAGATTTATGAATTTTATTGTCGTTGTGAAAAAAAATGTAGGGGAGAATGGAGATAACGTGCCAGGGGCGGATTTATAAATGGTTTCAATTAAACAATATATATATATATATATAAATATTGGATGTTGAAGTTTGAATTTGGTAAATTCTTATGTTAATTGAAATCAATTGTTGATTGCACATTAATGGAGAAGTACTATCGAAAGGCGTCAAATTTAGAGGATTCTTCAACTCTTTTGTCGTCTATAAAGAAAAGTAAGCTCGATAATCAAAATTCAAAGAGCACCGAATTTGGCGAAAATTCTGCCCTGGCTGATAGAAAATTCTGCGTCCGCCGCTGACAAAGCCCAATGGATAAAAAAATTCAAGAGAACTTGTTGATGAATCGGGAAAAAGAAGGGGCGGGCACAATATTCATTCTCCCAGACCTATTCATTCTCCTCATTCCTCATCTCCATTCTCCAGCCGGTGGAATACTATCTCTCATACGAATCTGATATAGGATATTATATACTAGACCAGTTTTAATGGATAAAAAGAGAATATATTGAAGAATAAGCCTACACATGGCTAAGACACGTGGCATGATGCTATTGGACAAGCTCAACTTAGGCTATAAGGTACACTCCCCCTATAAAAGGAGCTAAGATATCCCATTCTCTAATTCTCTCTACATTCATTACTATACACTTGAGATTTGTAGGGATACTGACTTAAGCGTCGGAGGCCCGACGCTAGAACCCCTCCCGGCGTTGGGTTCTTGCAGGTCCGGTGGCCGTCCGAGTTGAAGGAGCCCGGGTGAAATCTTATTCACTTCATTGGCGCCGTCTGTGGGACCCGGGTAAAAAGTCAAATGGAGTTCCGACCGAAAAATTCGAGAAATTTTCCAGCAAGCTCCTTCACCTCCATCGGCCGCCGCCACCACCGCTGCCGTCGGCCCCACTTCTGCCGCCGACTGCCGAAAAATGTGCTCCGATCGTAAAATTTTTGGTGTCATCAGGTAGATCTCCTTGAGATGAATCTCCCCTTAAAATTTCATGCAAAAATTCCTCCGGGAAAGCCGTCAATTTTGCGGTCAAAATTTCCAGATCTAGCAAAAATTTGGTCAAAATCGAACATTGAAATGCATTTTACCAATGATCCAGAATGGCCATGAAGAATCCGAGGGTACCACCGGAATCCTCTTGTGGAGACGAGTCTCTAGCATGAGACCTCCGTCGGTGCCGCCGTCGACCACTGCCGGCCGCCACTGCCTCCGCCGCCAGCCGCCGCGAAGAATCCTCTGATCAGGAAAATTTTTACATCATCACGAAACTCTCCTTGTGCTCGTTCTACCCTTAAAATATCAAGCGAAAATTCCAAGCGCAAGGCCGTCAATTTTGCCGGTCAATATTTTTGGATCTAAGAAATTTGTGGTCAAACACTGGGTTTCTTCTCCGATTTCTCATCGATTTCCGGCGAATCACTTCGAGCTGAAGGTACCATCAGGATCTCCTCGTCGAGGCGCTCACACAACTGGTCGTTTTCGCCGGAGCCGACGCTTGATTTTTTCCGACAGCATTTTCTTTCTCTTCAGGCGAAATAGCGGTTATGTTCGCGCAGTGACCGGGTCACCTGGTTAAGGTCCTCGCAGCCAGCCCGTATCCGCGTCCTGGTCCAGCGAACAGGAATGATCCAGTAGGAACGAGCGGCCCACGTCGTGCAAGGCCCACATGCAGCAGCCCAGCAGAGGTGTGAGGAAAAGCGCGGGCCGCGTCCAGCCCGCGCGGCCCGTAATTGCCATACAGCCAGCCCGCGCGTCCAACTCGGCTTCCAGCTCGCGTCCATCACCATGTTTAGCCCGCGTGGGACCGCGCTCAGCCTGTGTGAGGCTCGCGAGCAACCCAAATACCCTGCTGCCCCTCTTCTCGGCCCAACAGCATCAATTCGAGGCCTAATGACCTTAGAGTGGTCCATTTCGCTCCAAAACAGCTCCAGTGCGGCCCAGAAGCGGCCAACTTCTTCCATTGTGGCCCAGTGAGCAAAAATAGCTACATTTTCGTGTCCAATACTAATTCGGGAAGACTAAACGTGGACGGGGAGGTAAATTTAGATAGAATTCTCGTGATGAAGGTATGACGTTAATTTAAATTTTGGACTTGAATATTTAAATTGGTGAAAAGTGGAGAAATTATTTGAAGAGTGGATTAATTTATTAGTGGAGAATATATTCGATTTATTCGGGCAAAATTATTTGATTTATCCGTGGAGCCTATTTGATTTATGGGTAGAGTATTATTGGATTTATGTGTGGAGCATTATTCGATTTACTCGAAGAGATTATGTGATTTATTCATCCATATTATTTGATTTGGCCGAGGAGATATTATTTGGAGTATTCACGGAGAATTATGTGATTTATTCATGAAGATATTTTATTTGTTCGTGGTGATATTGGATTTGATCATGGAAATTCGCTCGTGGTGATATCTAATTCGCTCGTGGAATTATTTGATTTGTTCATGGTGATATTTGATTTGATCGTGGAATTATTTGATTTTCTCTTGGAGATATTGTTTGACTTATTCGTGGAGATATTATTTGATTTATTCGCGGAGAATTTATTTGATTGAAAAAAATGCGGGTCATGGTTTCGGATTGCGGATATCTTGTTATTGTGTTTGAATTGACTATTCATTATTTTTTTTTTCATGTCAGTGCTCGAGCATGTCTTAAATCGAGGAGATGGTGATGATTGTATATGATCTCTTGTTTTTCTTGCGTGGAGAATTGCAAAATAGATGACGTGAATATAATATGGATAACGATATCTCTTTGAACTCTTGTCGAGGAAACATCGAAATAACCCGAGTCTCGACAAGCTATGGTGAACGAGCTGTGAAGTTTAAAGGACAAAATGAGTGAGCATGGATCCATAAAAGCAGAATGATAATGAGGGAAGAGTATGGATGGTGTCGATCGTAGGTGGCAATTTCAGAGGCAGAAATCATTCTCTTTTGGAAAGGTAGGATAATTGGGAGTGACATTCTCGACCTTCAGGTATAAAATTAATCTCAACTCTTGTCGATGGTCAAGATCGACTGACACTATTTTGTGACATATGGAGTCTTTTAGCATTCTTTTTTGGGGGGAATGTTCATTGTTTGAATATTTTGGGTGAAACCTCATTTTGGGTGAAATGTTGCTGAAATTGTGGTGTATGTGGATATGTCTGGAATTATTATTTGGGGGACTAACAAAATGAAGAAAATGAGGTGTACGTGGAGCCTCGAACAAAATCTGGCACGACTAAGGCCTTTGGGCTGGCCAGTCTCGGGTCATCATGACCAAGGAGCTCGGTATTGGGAGTTATTCATTCGAATTTTTGTTTGGTGCATTCGTTTAATGATTATTTGTAGCTGCAGAGTATGGTTTGTTGTAATTGGTTGTCGAATTCATGGTTTTGCGAAATTCTGGTCGACTGTACATTTGAGTGGGTGTTTATGCGATTTCATATCGTGGTAGAGACTTGCATGTAGATTAAGGTGTGGTATAAACGAATGTGGACCAATGTGATTGCTTTGATTTATTCGTCTTTTGTTATTATTGCTATCGGGATTGCAAATTGGATGATGTGGATAAAATACGACTAATGGAACTTGTTGAATGTTGCTGAGGAAAATGCATAAGCAGGTGGACCAAATATTGGTTATGGTGAGAAGTGGAAAGCATGGAGCAAACAGCAACTCAGGTCGTTGTGTACAGATAGGAAAGGGAGGTCAAAAAATATACTTGATTTGTTTTATCTTGTTCGATATAGCTGTGCATTTGATGGGACTAACGAAAATGATCAATTACTATTCTTTCTCGTGGTGTTTGGTATGTTTTCTTTTCGACCTCAGTGGTAGGTCGAAGTGTTTGAGTCGTGCAGGAGTCTAAAACCCACCTTGAGTGGTCGTCTGTTCGAACGGTCCCATTAGCGGGCCGGGCAGACGTTAATTGGTGGCCCCAAGGCCGAAAAATCCACCCTGAGTGGTCGTCTGTTCGAACGGTCCCATTAGCGGGCCGGGCAAACGTTAATTGGTGGCCCCGAGGCTAAAAAATCCACCATGACTAAAGCCTCCGGGCTGGGTGGTTACATGTAACGACCACTCTTTCGAGGGTGGACATGTGTCGAAGACATAAAATCCACCATGACTAAGGCCTCCGGGCTGGGTGGTCACATGTAACGACCACTCCTTCGAGCGTGGACATGTGTTCGAAGACAAAAAATCCATTATGACTAAGGCCTCCGGGCTGGGTGGTCACATGTAACGACCACTCTTGCGAGGGTGGACATGTGTTCAAAGACAAAAATCCACCAACACTAAGGCCTCCGGGCTGGGTGGTCACATGTATCGACCACTCCTTTAAGGGTGGACATGTGTTCGAAGACAAAAAACCACCAAGACTAAGGCCTCCGGGCTGGGTGGTCACATGTATTGACCATTCCTTTGAGGGTGGACATGTGTTCGAATACAAAAATCCACCATGACTAAGGCCTTCGAGCTGGGTGGTCGATCCTAGTGTTGGGTCGGTGAAGACATGGATCCTATTGGAGACCTCGGTGGCAGGTTGATGTTTACTTATTTTTGGTTCCGTCGAATTTATTTTTCGACTTCAAGGGCAGGGAGATGGAGTTCATTACAGATAGCTCGAGCAGACCTCAGTGGCAGGTTGATAATCTTTATTTCATTCTTGATTTCGTCGAATTTAATATTCGACTTCAAGAGAAGGTAGATGGAGTTCATTAAGGATAGCTCGTGCAGACCTCGGTGGCAGGTTGATTGATTCAAGTTTTGTTGGATTGGATTTTTTCGATCTTAGTGGCAGGTCGATGGTATTAATTATTGTTCGAGCAGGTTGATGGTTTTTGATTGGTTTGGCCTTGTCGAAATTATCTTTCGACCTCGGTAGCAGGTTGAGGGTATTCATTATTGATCGAGCAGGTTGATTGCTTATTACTTGATTATGGTTTTGTCGAATTTATTTTTCGACCTCAATGGAAGATAGAGGGCATTAATTACGACACGAGCAGGTCGATGGTTTTCGCTTGGTTTGGTCTTGTCGAATTTATTTTTCAACCTCGGGGGCAGGTCGAGGGAGTTCACTCGGAGCAGTTCACGGAGTCAAGTTATTCAGGTTGATGATTTTATTTGGTTTTGTCGAAATTCGGCTTTCGACTTCAGTGTGGTGTCAGGACATTCGGTTTTCGAGAGGATAAACAGCTGGGTTGAATTTCAAATTTTGAACTGAGGGGGCGATGATAGGACGAGGTGGTAGAAAACGTTTATCTTTGAATGAAGAGAGCTCAAACATGGTGATCGAAAAACAACAAGACGTAAGTTCAAATTTTTAAATTCAAGACTTCGGTTTTCGGTGTTCGACCCCACGCCGAGTCACTCGATTTTCGACCCCAGTGGTCGTTCAGCTCTCGGTTTTCGACCCTAGTGGCGGGTCTTTCGTTTTTCAACCTAAGTGGTCGTTCGACTTTTGTTGTTCGACCTCAGTGGCGGGTCATTCGGTTTTCGACCTCAGTGGTCGTTCAGCTCTCGGTGTTCGACCCCAGTGGCGGGTCTCTCGGTTTTCGACCTAAGTGGTCGTTCGACTTTAGGTGTTCGACCCCAGTGGCGGGTCATTCGGTTTTCGACCCTAGTGGTTGTTCAGCTCTCGGTGTTCGACCCCAGTAGCGGGTCTCTCGGTTTTCGACCTAAGTGGTCGCTCGACTTTGGTGTTCGACCTCAGTGGCGGGTCATTCGGTTTTCAATCTCAGTGGTCGTTCAACTTTTGGTGTTTGACCCCAGTGGCGGGTCATTCGGTTTTCGACCTCAGTGGTCGTTCAGCTTTCGGTGTTCGACCCCAGTGGCGGGTCTCTCGGTATTCGACCTCAGAGGCAGGTCTTTCGGTATTCGACCTATGCGGCGGGCCTTTCGGTTTTTGACCTTAGTGGTCATTCGGTGTTCATTTGGGGTCCCGATGCTCATTTGGAGGTTTGGTGACTATTTGGTGGTCGATGATTTATCCAAATTATAACCTCAGTGGCAGGTTGACGGAAACAGCCCGAAGAGGAATTTCACTCTTGGATCGAGTCATGCTTACTCGACCAGAGTGGGGGGACTAAATGATATAGGATATTATATACTAAACCAGTTTTAATGGATAAAGAGATAATATATTGAAGAATAAGCCTACACATGGCTAAGACACGTGGCATGATGCTATTGGACAAGTCCAACTTGGGCCATAAGGTACACTCCCCCTATAAAATGGGGCTAAGGTATCCCATTCTCTCATTCTCTCTATATTCATTACTATACACTTGAGATTTGGAGGGATACTGACTTGAGCGTCGGAGGCCCGACGCCGGGACCCCTCCCGGCGTTGGGTTCTTGCAGGTCCGGTGGCCGTCCGAGTTGAAGGAGCCCGGGTGAAATCTTATTCACTTCAGAATCAAAAACCAAATAAGGAGTTTTCCACTGACACGTCGTGTACCGTTGCCGAGGATGCCGGATTCGCCCGCGTCGGGCTCCGTCGAGTCTGAATCTGGAGTGCTTCCCGACGGGTGGAGGCTTGTCGGAATTGAGAGAGAGGCGGGAGAGATCCTCGTGCTCGTGGCCGGAGGAGGAGAGAGAAATTCGGGAGGAGATGGGTAGCTCGCTGTTTTCTGATTCTCTGGACGGGCCAAATTGATTTAATTGTTGGTGTTCATTTTGTTGGGAGCAATTTTGTTTAATTACTGTTATTCTGGGAGGAGATGGGTTAGCTCGTTTTGAGAGAAAATTGGTTTTAT